AGAGTTGAGTAATCATGTGAAAAGGGGTTGTGTTTTCAACCGACCAGCTCAGCTCGGTCCAGAGTAGAAAAAAATGTCACTGTTTTCCATCTTGGTGGTGGATAGCTCGTTTATACAATCTCTCGTGATACCGTCCATTCGGGAAATATACTGAAAAGAGGCATCCACAGTGCGAGTAAACCTCCTCTCTTACCCGACACTGAGGGTCACCGCGGATGCCATTTAGCGACATATGTCTCGGATTCTTCATGAATCCATTAGTCTATGAAACCCTTCTTCATGCAGAAGACAGTCACCGATCAATATTAAGGGAACCGTGGATAGAATACTTTACCTATATCAGTGTAATACCCCATGGAGCACCTGGTACAGAGCTATCATCGTAGGTGGGATCATAGATAGCTGTAACTCATTTTTATTACCACCTGTCTCATTCGATAAACAATCAGGATCGAAGGGATGCAATTAGGATATGCTAAGATGAGCGAGGCGCGATGCCCGCAACAAGCTCGCAAAGAGGGGTTGTGATACATCGTGTAAATGGAAGACGAAAAATGGTCTGATCAGCTGGCCGGTGGCCAGGTGGGTAGCATACTTGCGGTCTGCCTGTGAGGTCCCGGGGTTCGATCCCCCAGTTGGGTCGATGGATTTGCACTGCTAATGAGACTCCATCAGGTCGATACAGCTGCACAGTGCTTTCTAGTGTCTCATTCACTCACGACGAATTCATTTTATGAAATTGAATCACATCCTCCATTACTCACATGCAAGGTATAGATTCTCAAAAATAGTGATGACTATGCACGTAGGAGCTCAAAATCTAGGGGACTGCAACACTTTCGTCGCGGGGTCTATTTAGATCACGCTTGGATAAGAGTGAGGCGAACAGACACAGGAAAGAGAAATCAATAATGAGACCAAGGGTCACTGAATCGAACTGGATTGGGCACGAGATTACGTCTCGTCGTCCAACCTGGCGCAGGTGCAGATAAATGAATGGGTAACCAGTGTTGACCGTGATAAGATGATTATATAAAAAAGTCAAGGGCAACATATTGCCACGGTGGTGATCCATTATCCCTCTCTCTGTCCACACTCTTCCAAACATGTATGTTAGAACTTTTCGTTTTTAGCACTTGACGAATTAATTACTTTATTAAACTTCACTCCAGTTAAGTGAGCAACCGGCATCACAACGTAATTTGTGTATAAACAAGCATATATCTGTAAATGCTTGAAGACGTAGTTAGGAAAATAAGCTTTTTCGCATTGAATTGCAGTGCATAGTACCAAAGATTGTTTTATCGAACAAGGAATCAGTGAAAGCCTCTACAACGTGAAGTCTCGCCAGCCTTTGGACTAGTTTCTGAGCTCGACATTCGCCGCAGTGATTTCTATTCTGAGCCATAACACATGGTAATCATCATCCTTTAATCAATCTTTTCGTGGTAACAAATGGGTACGATATTGGGAACACGATTTTTTGCAGCTGTCCGTTGCTCAAACGGACTTTGTTATTCAACAAAAACATGTTCCAAAGATCACCATAAAACAAAAATAGATAACTCTATTGAACAATTTTAAACGTCATATGCTTTGAATAAATAATCAGTCAATTGCATAATAAACACTGGTGTACTATTGTGTAGTTAACTACCCGAAAATCGTCACTAAAGTTTTACCGACCTGTGAAAACAAAATCCAGTACATCGTATATGAATGTGTGCAACTTATAAGCTTCGTTGTAGGTAAACTGTAGCCCACTGTACTTCGTTTAACAGATAGGACTGTCATGATCAATCAGCAATTACCAAACGAGTACACACCAGAGGGGTGAATATATAATCGAACACGCGCAGACCAGCGACTGCACAATGTACGACTTCAAAAAAATACCGGATGAGACGTGACACAAAACAAATAGGTGAAAATGCATTTTGGTTCCGAGTTGCCCTAGCGCAAACAGTCCTGCAGTCGAAAAACTGAAAACTACGATGTCGATTTTTGTGGAACTCAGAATGATGACCGAGAAAATTACAAAAATCGCCTCTTACTTATGTTAAATACGATTTTCTTTAGACCATTCTATTTTGTTATTGTTTCTTTGGCCTCTCACTAGGGGAAAAATCCTTTTCAATATAAATGTAATAGATAAAGAACTCTCATGAACAAACAACACTAATGAGTATGTGCCCATGTTTACAAAACGTGTCTACCTATACCAAGATCGTCAATCAGAAAATGCCGGGAAAAGCTCGTGAGTCAAACTAGAGGCGTGAAAAGTCCAACGGTCGCTCGAGCGAGGAGCGCGATATACAATCGACGCACGAAAGTCCATGGTTAATGGTTGAAATAACTGAAAATAATATTACTTTTATTACCGTAATTAGTATTAGAAGGCACACTAATTATGCTGACTCAGACCCACTAAACATAGCTGGCTGAAAACAGATGACAACAGTAGGATATAGAAACGGACCAAGGAACGCAATCAATCTGTGAGGGCGAAGTGGAGACAAGAATACACGGCTTGTTTTCTACGATGCGAGTACACAAGTGAACAGATGAGTCAGCTGATTAACACGTGATTATGATGGGGCTGACTAAACAGATTACTCACAACTCTGGTGTTTCGTTTAGGTTGAGCTGCATGTATTGACGAACTACCGATTGATTCGCCTCAGCTGCGAAGCCTACTACAGGTTCCCCACTCACAGCACGAAACGATAAGTTTCCGTTGAGTGTATCCAATTCCGCAACAATCATTGAATCTCACGAACATACATACACATGCCAAAAACCCATGTTACTGTTATCCCTTTAAAATCGACATACATTAATGGGTTTTTGCCGAACATATAAGAGAATTAAACGCAAGCAGAAAATTCGCTTTGGATAAAAACAAGAGAAAAGGAGAAACTGAACAGTAAAACAACGCACAAACCATGATGGAACGTACAAATTTTGACTATTTCATCACTTTAATAATCCACATGTGCAACTCACTAGTGGCACTAACTGCATACCCTTTCGTAATGCATTGCCGTAAGAAAAAGAGGTTGAGAAATTCCAGTGAACACTGGAGGATGATTGTGGCAGCAGATAGATTGACTACAAGCAAGCTATAAATATGCATAGCCTTGGACCTGCTAAAAAAACATAGGGATTAAATAATTCGATATCCACGGAATTTCGAAACCTTATTTTCGTCTCTGAGCCCGACATGTTGATGACACTTTTGTGGTAATACCGGTGACAAAAATCAAACAATTTCTCGATTATTATACACAAAGTTAAAACAGGGATGAAGTTCACAGGCCAAGAAAACGAAATGGGAATCCGGTTATTGGACCAATTAATTGCAACAGAAGAGGACTGGAATACATGCATTGTCTACAGAAAAACAAACGGGCGTCAAACCACAATGGCAACCACCTAGTGTCATCCATACAACAATGACTGCCCTTTGAGCTAACACAAATTTTGGCACACATGAACATCGGCCTTTCAAAATATCTTTATCAACCGACGCGACAAAGGTTTCGTTAAGTCATGTCCCAGGAGGTGAGGAACAGAACGTTAGTCCTACCCGACGCACATGTGAATAACCAGAACCCGTTGACGATCTACTTCTTCTCCGCACAGGGGTATCGTTGATGTTTGCAAGCCTGCACACTGGGACCGAGTTGACTGAACCACAAGTACCATGTCAGACTATCGAACCTGGCACATGGTGATACATGCAATCTCGTGCACACCGTACGACCAACATTGCGCGGAAGAGAGGGGACACAAGCAAATGTACATATACCGGATATGGTGAATGAGTATTATTATTAGTTACCAAAGAGTGGTAAAAGTGGACACTTCGACGACAGGTATTGAGAGATTCCAGAATGAATCTAATCTGACGAACGTTGACAGAACAAGAAAATTGCGAAGGATTTCTGAACAATGAACTTCTACATGTCGTCTCACATGAGTTTAGGAGGAGAAAAGCAAAGCGCTGTGTTTGGTGACCACATAACCAAAGCACACAAAGATGAGGTCAATTTCATTAAGAAGTAGGGTTTACGTCCAAATAAGAATGAAACAAGCCGTGTATTATGCGGGATTTGAAACAATTCAATGACGATGTGATTTGGGACTACTCATATTAAATGACTCTATGTATATCAACAAGTCTGAGTGAGATCGTGTGCCACGGTATAAATATTTTAGCTACGAACTCGATCCGTGATTAATTTGGGTGTGCAATACAGGCAAGTTTCACCAACCAAATTAAGCGATTATTATGGGGGTGGGGAGGGTACAGTCCGGCTAGCCAAAATCTGACCCAAGACAGCGNTCGGCTGGCCAAAATCTGACCCAAGACAGCGGGGACCGTTTGACCAGACGAATTTTACATCCTCCCAATGCGATTCACAGGTCCAAGATGCTTAATCCACCCCCATTACCCAATCAAATCGGCGACATTCATGAAAAAGGATCTAAACGCGACAGTGTTAGAAAATGCTGACAATCAAGTCAGCTGTTTCATGGTTGCTTTTACTGTAGAAATGTTGCATGCTAGAATACATAATAATTAAACCACGTACTAGTTACCACGGCAGCAAACAGGTGATATTGTTACTAAAAGACTTCTTATTATTTTTCCTGTCTTGAACTCCAACACTTCAACTCAACTATCCCCACTACATCATAGTTCATCAAAACACGAAATTATTGAAGCTTGACGAACGCGACCTGAAAATAAAAAGAAGGCTTGATTCAAGCACTCGGTAATCTGACTCCTGTGCTTCGTCATCTAATTATAAATGCCATCTTGGCATTTGAAGGTCATATCCGGCCAACTGCGCAATGGACGCATGTTATTGAGAGTATTTCTCATAATAAATAAGTAGGTTTTTCTTCTTTTAAAAGCATACATACATATATATATTTACCACCAATCTTTACATAAACATATATTTATACCGAGAGAGAGGGAGAGATGAAAACTAAAAATGAAGACCGAAACGAACAACGCACAAAATAAAATAATAACGAGCGACTGTTGGCTTACACTGCTTGCGTGTATGACCCCAGGGCCACATCCACGACCAACCGTCATGACTAGTGTGAGAACTGGCGTCGCCCTGACTACCCGATTTCCAGTGGTGATCCTTCAATCCACGCGAATCCGACTCATTGCGATGACCACCGGTAAAACTTTGACCCGCTGCAGACTGATTGCTCAGTGACAGATACTGAAAACACAGAGTGATACCCGATGCTCGATTCAATCCGGGCAAGCCAAGTTGACATTCGACTCGAAGACTAACGTTGCGTAATACGATGCTGGTTTGCGCTATCACTGATAAAGAGAACAAATGAGAGGACAAGACAGGCGATGGTGTGAATAATGCGAAGAGAAAGCATTCAAATGGTAATTCGAGAGTAATATCTATGGTTTTGTAAGGTTGCTCCATTATTAAGCACACAGCTAAATGAACTTCGTTCATTGCTACCAAAATGATGTGGATAAATACTGAAAAGAGTTACCTTCCTTCTATGGCGGTTTATCGTGTAGGGTACCTTAGTTTTAAACGAGGAAGTAGGCCCCGAAATTAGACTTTCCATTTTACCATAAGCGAAAATGACCTTTCTTAAAACAAACAAACCAGTTGAACAAGCATCTTCAAGTGATGCACGAGCATTCTTGTGTTGAGTTTGGCACTCTTGTTTGCAAGCCAACGATAAATTCAACGCAAGTAAAGAAAATTTGGGGAAAAAATCATTGTTTAAATTCATTGCACATGAACACATGTTTATAGTTTCAGATCATAGAAACGTGAACTTTGCCTATACCTACCCTGGTACCCACTTCAAAAACCGGATGTGTTGTATAATTATCTTGGCTGAAAGTATACATTGACGATTTCGTTGTTTTTGAAAGGCTATATCTGCTTCTGTAAGGTCAAGAAGGATATCGTAAGCATACCGAAAGCGGTGTTGTTAATTGTCGGAATGTCTTATGGTGTAGTCAATCTGAAGTGCTTTCTACATACCCTTGTATAACCTCCCCCCTAATTTTCATCTTTTCTCTTCAGGATTGTCTTTAGTTCGAATATTGCTCCCTTCCGTTCCGTCTAAAAATAACTCATTTCTGGAGTCATTTATTCTGACTATGGTTCCCACATCCCCATTGACAGTGTTTACCTACTACTGTTGATCACTTTAACCATGTTTCTACTTTCACGTTGACGGCACCGATTTAAACTTATGCTCCATAAGAGGAAATTCTATCCTAGACAGGGTTATCATCAACCATCCTAATCTATTTGATCTAAGATTGAAGCCTCCGGTTTCAACAAGTGATCACTCTAGCCAAAAGCCTACTCCCCTCCAGCATTACTCCTATTTACTCAGTCGAAGCATACTAGAGTAACTCATAGGAATCTTTTATCCAGTAATATTGCTCAAGGTGCTTTTGAATATAACCCATTTTCTTAGTTTTCACCTGCCTTCTTTCTAGTAACTGGGGAAATTTTCATTGATATAGTGGATGCCACTGTCGACCTGTGCTGTCCCGATGAAACTCTGTTTCTTCAAAAGTTTCAGATTATTTTTCCTCTGATGAAGCTTTTGAGAAGACAGAACAAACTGGTTTACAAATCACACGATTCATCAGCAGTACATCAACCATCCCTCGGGATCAGGTCTCAATGAGTTGTTTGCCGGACAACCATATGAAATTAAGAAAGAAATCTTATTTTTGCAAGGTATTCGCCTCCACTGCGGACAATGGAAAACGGCTAAGCTTCACAGCGTTGACACAGCTCAGTTGAACTCTGCGTTCATCCAAACATTCTCCAATTACTGTTCCTCCTTCATCCCTTCCAGCTTTTCCACGATCGAAACTTTCTACATAGGTGTTTTCAAACTTATTCTTACCCCCCAAACTGGGGGCTTCAGTTTACCCTCATGATCTATTTGCTGCATTTAACATGTATGGCGCTAGCCCGCTAACTGAGCGCCTGCCTATCTTTGTTCCAGTCCTTATTTGTGGCGATCTGTCACTGTTGTCCCCACATTTGAAAGGTTCACATCTACCATTTTCTTCCAACAGCTATCATTTCGTGAAAGTTGACACTTGCCCAATGCTATTCTTATTTGAATCTTCCCCGTGATCCTCTCTAGCTTGCATAGAAAACTAACAGGTACGCATTAGGCGCGATATGTTCTGTTGCCCAGTTCAGCATCTAGTCACAGGATTACCCTGTGAAATCTGTTAGTTGTATATTACACGATTGTTGTTCTATTTCAATTGATCTGTCGTTATTTTTGCTCCTTTGGTTTCCCAGTGTCCTTTGTTTTACGGTTAAAAGATTACTTTACTGCGATAATTCAGTGTACAAAGTTGGGTTTGATTTGTCTTATCTATCGGTAAATAGCTCTGGGGCTGTCCTTTCAGATATTTGTTCGCTACTTGTATTTAGTGATTTGTCTGTTCCTTCACATGCTAAACTTAAAACCTGCAGATGATGTTGTATAACACCCATCTGTCTCAAATCCCTCCGGTTGCCTGTCCCCATTCGATAATTTTACTGCAACTTAAAACTTTTCTAATCAATCAGTCCTTAATCCGCATTGATCAAAATGTCTCGAGTCCTCTTTCGCGGTCATTTCATTCTACTTAACCTTCGCATATTGGCGATTATCCGCTTCGGAAATAAAATGAAATGATCTAGACATATTCTGAATACCGTCGGCAAAAATAGAGGTTTTTCTTTCCGGTTTTTGCTAGTTGTGACAGTTTACTGGCAGACAATGTGTGATTTCTTTCCTCGTACATCAGCGTGTTTTCCCCTTAGCTTGTTATTCGTCAGCCACTCTTTCTAATTCAATGGGGGAAAACCTTCCTGCTCATCAGCCGTATTTTCCTCCTTCCCATGGACTCTCTTATCTTCATATTGATTCTTGTATGACTTATGGTCACAAGATTCTCGGTGAAATCTCACATTCTCTTTATTCGGTTTACCTGTGTCATTCCCACCTTTCAACTTTCAACCGATGATAGATACAAAGTTGACACTGAACAAAAGGATGGAAATTTGGAGGCAAACAAAAGCTATGCACTTTTTCATGTATTTTTCGTCTCGTTTGTCCTTTTTGCAAAGGCTTTAGGTGTCTATTTCTTGACTGAAATGCAGGCATGCCTATTCACAAAGGTCAATCAATGGTATTTATACCGCAAAGTGCCACGATATACAAGACATCGAAACATGCGCTTGATTCGATTTTTTTGTTAGAGTTTACAGTCCAACGGAGATCAATAAGAATTTCGACTGAGGTACCGAGAGGGAGTTATAACAAAGGGATATAATCACGGTGGAGCGAATGGAACTGGGAAGATATCTACAGAATGAAATCCAATCATTTCGCTGTTCTTTTTTCACCACTGGAGTAAACCTAATCCCTGAGGAGCCAAACTCAAATAAGGTATATGTGGAGTAAAAATGGGAGCTTCCCAACAGGTCACTGTGTCAGCGGACTTGCTATACGATAATACTAACTGGATGCTAGAGAGAGGTACGGAGATGCCCAGTCGTTGTTTGCGTCTGCGTCCCAAATCGGATTGATGGTCTTACGAGTTGCACTGTTTAATGCATGTGTAATTTCAGCATGAGTGTTGAATCTTACTGAAGGTGCACAAACCAAACCAGATATAGACAAAGCCGGCTTCAAACAAAATTCAGTTGTCTCCCTCGGAAATGAAACACGTTAGACAATTATTTATAAAAATCCACTCGGTAGCCCATAAAAGTCAAACGATTTTGGGGTGAATAATCCGATTTGAAAAGCTATAGTGAAGACGGCACGTAAAAGGTAGCACATTAAGACATTTTGAAAACGCGTCTAGCAGATAGATCTTGGGAAATCAAGTCAAGCTGTCATTCGGTCTAACCACATCACATGGCGAGGGCTGTCGATACCCAAGTAGTAAACACGATGAACAGTCAAGAACACAGGAAGCACCTGACAGAGCGATAATCCGGAGCACGATGCACAATACGGTTGAAGGTTATCAAGTGCCTTTGAATCGACTGGTGTCCAAAAATTAAAACTAAAACCTATTAAGCTGGCACGACCACAATTCATTACCATTGGAAAGACAGAAATTTTCTAGAAAACAAGACAGCTAAACTCCAAAGTCACAGGAGGAATTAAAGTGATTGACTAACGAAACCACAGCAAGCAAATGAATGGCACCGCATTTTCAATCAATCACGGAATGACCCATATACATTTATGTTAAAGCGCACACTGGACAAAGCTGGAACGGGAGAACGAAAGGTAAGTTCTACTTCCATTGCATCACGACGAGACTGCACCTTGACGTGGTGTGATGGCTTGTGCACCTCTATGACCCAACGAGCTTTACGGGATGGCTCTTGTCAAGCCGCAGATCCAACCATGCCTGGAAGGTCAATGGGTAGAGGTCAGACGAAGTCCAGTCTCCTGGTCCTCCAGGTTGGGTGTTCGACTCGAGTTAGCGTCTCAGTCGGTAAAATGGTAGAGTAATTGATCCAAGTAAATCGGCCTCCAATCCGCTTTACCCGCTGCCATGCGGTTAGGTTCTTGTTAGAACCAAAGGCTTTGGACGAGAAACCTAATCGTTCTCCTGTTTCGTGGCTGGACATCCTGGCAGTACCCGTTCAAACTCAAATGCATACACAACCAAAAATTAATTCTACATTGCATCGGTCGTCGCGCAGAATAATCAGGACCGCGTTGCCCATTGCATCGAGCGGGGTGGGTAGAGATAAGTGGGCTACTGCTCAGATATCCCAACCTTTGTTTAACTCCTTGTCTTCCGTACCCAACCCTATCCTTTTACCCCTTCTTCCAACCCGTAACATTCCCTCTGAAAACTTGTTCGTCACTCGCCAAAGTTCGTTGCCAAGTAGCCCACAAGTAGTTTACCACAAAAAAGATTGTATATTCCGAAGCCTCGTCAGCCACTGAATCTGGGGGCCTTCAACGTGAGGACTCTGATGCAGGTAGGTCAACAAGCTTGTCTGGCGCGTACAATGGACTCTTTGGGAATTGATGTCTGCTGCGTGTCGGAGACTCGAGTCCAGGATCCTAGTCCTATATGCCACTTAAGTGCACCGGTGTTGTCTTCGAAGTTCTTCCTCCGCACGTCAGGTGATGAAGAAGCCCGTTCACTAGGCCAGCGCGGTGTGGGCATTGTACTGAATAATACAGCCGAAGCCGCACTACTTGATTGGATCCCCATCAACAGCCGCTTATGTGCGATGTGGCTCCAAGGGTCTATCAGCGACATCGTTTCCTTGTTCGAATGGATGGAGGATGTACAAAGAGCACTTGACAGATTAGCAAGTTCTGTCGCTCCGTTCGGCATGTGATTTGCACCTTCCAAGTGCAAAGGGACGCCACAAGACTGAGTGTCGCCTAGTTCTGCTCTGAAACTAGACGGTCAGAAATTAGCTGTAGTTGGCTGCTTCTGGTACTTAGGTAGCTGCGCGACCAACGACGGTAGCGCATCGAAGAAGATAACCACCCGCATCTTCAAGGCTCGAGCAGCGTACGCAGGACTAAAACAAATGTGGCGGCGACGTGACGTTTCACCGAAGTTGAAAAGTCCAGCATTCTGCGTCACCGTACGATCAGTTCTACTTTACGGTTGTGAGATCTTGAATCTGCGGGAAACGTTTTGCGTATATCCGATTTCGCTTACCGCAAGCGCGCCTTGTTTGCAGTGGCTGTTACAGGCTAGAGGAAGCCACGTGGAGGCCAACAGATGAAGTGGAGACGAGGAATAAAGAAATGCACAGAGCGATTAGGTAGAGTAGGTGTCTCTCGTCTTCCGTACCCAACCCTCTCTCTTTACCCGTTCTTCCGACCCGTGATATTCCCTCAGACAACTTGGTCGTCACTCGCCAAAGGGCTTTGCCGAATAGCACTGTAACGAGTTTTCCTGTAAATAGAGTGCAGATTCTGAAGCCTCGTCACCATCTCAATCTGGGGGCTTTTAACGTGAGGACTCTTATGCAGGCGGGTCAGCAGGCGTGTCTTGCGCGTACAATGCAGTCTCTAGAAATCGATGTCTGTTGCGTATCGGCGACACGAATTCAGGATTCTAGTATTATAAGCCACCTGCGTGCGCCGGGTCTGTCCTCAAAGTATTTCCTTTGCACCTCAGGAGACGACGCAGCCCGCTCACGGTGTCAGCGTGGTGTAGGTATCGTACTAAACGATAAAGCTGAATCCTCTATGATAGATCGGATACTCGTCACCAGTCGTTTGTGCGCAATGAGGCTGCAGGGATCAGTTAGTGTTCGGAAGAGTAGCAACACCAAAAGGTGTTTATTCATACTTTCCGCGTATGCACCAACCAACTGCAGTCCCGCTTCACAAAAGGACGAATTTTACGACAAACTCGCCGAACTGATTCGGTTGAGCCGCAACTCTGATATTATAGTGCTGGCAAGTGATTTTAACGCGCAGGTTGGAAAACTGAGCGCATCCGAAGCCTGTCTAGGAGGGCACTTTGCCCTTCCCGCCCAGCGAACAGACAACGGTGATCGACTACTTCAGTTCTGCGCGGATCACCGACTGTTCTTATCTAGCACCAACTTTCAACACAGCTCTCGTCGAACGGCTACATGGTGTTCTAGTTCAACGGGCACATTGACCCAAATTGACCACGTGGCTGTAAGCTACCGTTGGCGTGGTTCAGAACAAAATTGCAGTTCCAATTGGTTCACTTGCGTTGAGTTAGATCATGCACTAATTCTGCTACGCTTCGCTCTTCGACTCACTGGTCATCGGTGGAAATCGCCTCCTCAGTCAGCTCATCATCGTCTGCGCGATCCAGCTGTCTGCGCACGTTATGAGGAGAAGCTGGGACAGGAGCTAGGAGAACCGCGACATAGTGGAGTGGACTAACAGTGGAATCAGATTGGATTTGCGATGCACTCGGCTGCAAACTTTACTTGTGGGACTGAACCCGAAGCTCACCGAAGGCATTGGATCTCTCAGGAGTCAGTTATCCTAATGGATCAAGAGCGAAAGATCCCAATCTGCCAGGATCAGCATAAGGACCGGTGTCGCCTGCAACGTCAACTCAGAAATAGCCTCAAGAAAGATCGTGAAAATTGGTGGGCCCAAATACCTAGTGAAATTGAGGTAGCTTCTGCATCAGGAAATAGTCAAAGACTATTTCACCTGATACGTAGCACCGGAGGTCGTCGCATACCGGTCAGTGAGATCATTTGTGATAAAAGTGGACAAAGCATCCACAATAAAGAACAACGACTTGATCGCTGGGCAGGGTATTTTAGTGAACAGTTCAATTGGTTTAGTGCTAATGTGTTCATTCCAGCGATTGCGGAGGAAACTACATGGGTGGTAACATGCGAGCCCCCATCAGAATCGGAAGTACGAAGCTGCATTCAATCAATAAAGAAAGGAAAGGCTGCGGGACGTGATGGGCTTCTCCCTATTCTTTTCAAGGTGGGCGGAGATTCTCTTGTCGACTCAATTACCAGCTTACTTCGCAGCATTTGGACGGAGTATCGTATCCCTTTGTCCTGGGGTGAATCGATGATCGTCCATATTTTCAAGAAGGGATCACACGACGACTGCGCTAACCACCGTGGTATTAGTTTCGTTCCGATAATCACAAAAGTGTTGATTTCTGTGACACTTCGCCGCCTGACACCCTTAAGGGAGAGGAATATCGGCGAACAACAAACTGGATTCCGACCAGGTCGAGGGTGCATCGAACAAATCTTCACTCTGCATCGAGTCATCGAACTGCGTAAACACACATCGTCGGCCAACAATCGCAGTGCTCCTTGACCTAAAAGGAACCTTCGATTCAGTTTACCGTGAAGCTCTTCTGGGGTCGCTGCTCCGCAAAGGAATGCCGCGGAAGTATGTAAAGCTATTGCGGTCGTTGTATTTGCATACTTCTGGTANGTCCTCGAACTGCGTCACACACATCGTCGGTCAACAATCGCAGTGTTCCTAGACCTTAAAGAAACCTTCGATTCAGTTGACCGTGAAGCGCTTCTGGGGTCGCTGCTCCGCAAAGGAATGCCGCGGAAGTATGTAAAGCTATTGCGGTCGTTGTATCTGCATACTACGGTGGGGTAAGTAAATCGTTCGAAACCAGGATCGGTGTCCGTCAAGGGTGCCCTATTTCGCCATTCCTGTTCAATTTCGTCGTAGACGAAGTACTGGATAACGCACTTACTGGTCTCCAGAACGTATGTATTGAATGGACAGCTGGAGAAAAGCTGTGCGATTTAGAGTATGACAGACTAGCAAGTTCTGTATCTCCTTTCGGCATGCGCTTTGCACCTTCAAAGTGCAAAGTGATGCTACAAGACTGGGTGTCGTCTATCCCAGCTCTGATGCTTGATGGTCAAGAATTAGCTGTATTGGAATGTTCCACCTACTTAGGTAGCTGCGTTTCAAATGACGGTGGCGTAGTCAATGAAGTAACCGCCCGCATTTCCAAGGCTTGAGCAGCTTACGCGGGACTGAAACGCCTTTGGTGTAGACGCGATGTTTCGTTGAAACTGAAAGGTCGTGTATACTGCGCCAGTGTGCGGCCAGT